AAAAAAAATAAATCTTTAATGCACAAAAAAAAAAAAAAAAAATGGCAGCATAAAAAAAAAAAAAAAAAAATGGCAGCCATTTCCAAATATGAGTGGGATAGTTTTGTTTATGCTTCTTCAACTGCCTAGAAGCATATGCAATAATCCGACCATGTTGCATCAAGACACAACCTAACCCCACCTTGGATGCATCACAAAACAGAATGCATCCTTCATTACCTGATGGTAAGGCTAACACAGGTGCAGTGGTTAAACATTCTTTGAGCTTCTGAAAGCTTGCTTCACATGTATCAGACCATACAAACTTTGCATTTTCTAGGTTAGCTTTGTTAATGGAGTTGCTATTCTCGAAAAGTCTTGCACAAAACGGCGGTAATAGCCTACTAAACCCAGAAAACTACGAATTTTTGTGACAGTAGTCAGTCTAAGCATTTAATAACTGCTTCAACTTTCTTAGGGTCAACCATGATACCATCTTTAGATATCACATGACCTAAGAAATTCACACTTTCTAACCAAAATTCATACTTAGAAAACTTAGCATATACTCGATGCTTTCTCAGAGTCTGTAGCACAATTCTCAGATGATGTATATGTTTCGCTTCGGTTCTGGAATAAACTAGAATATCATCAATAAACATGATCACAAATTAATCTAAAAATGCTTGAACACACGGTTCATCAAATCCATAAAAGTTGCTGGAGCATTAGTGAGTCCGAAAGACATGATTAAGAATTCCTAACGACCATATCTGGTTTTGAAGGTTGTTTTAGGAATATCTTGCTCCCTGATCTTTAGTTGATGATAGCTAGACCTTAAGTCAAATTTTGAAAGAACAAATAGCTCTTTGTAGCTGATCGAATAGATCATCTATTCTAGGAAGTGGATATTTATTCTTTATTGTCACCTTTTTCAACAACCTATAATCGATACAAAGACGAAAAGAACCATCTTTCTTTTTCATAAAAAGGACCAGAGGACCCCAAGGTGAAGTGCTTGGTCTAATGAAACCTTTGTCTAGCAACTCTTGCAATTGCTCTTTAAGCTCTTTCAACTCTGCAGGTGCCATCCTATAAGGTGGCATACATATAGGTTCTGTGCCGAGAACTAGATCAATACAAAATTAAATTTCTCGGTTTGGAGGAAGACCAGGTAGTTTTTTTGGAAATACTTCCAAAAACTCATTCACTATTGGCACATCTTCTATCTTGCGAGTTTCTGCAGCAGTATCTTTTACCAGTGCTAGGTACCCTTGGCACCCTTTATGTAATAGTCTGATTTTCTTTTTGTGTCGATAATAGTGATTTACCGGTCTGTGAATAATACCATCGGTCCGGGACTTGGTATTATTTTAGTCCGAAAAAATTACTATGCATATATAATATTTTATATACTATTTTTGAAGCATATTTGCATGATTTAGGCGGGTAGAAAATATTTCATGAATATTATTGGAGAGTATATGTATTAAATGAATAGTATTTCTAGGACCAATTATACGATGGAGCAATACGCGGAACTCTACATTGATGAGATTGTGATGGGGGTGGCGCTTTCATAGGCCACGATTGTGTGATGGGGGTGGCGCTAACCCACGATTGTGCGATTGTGTGATGGGGGTGGTGCTAACATAGGCCATGATCAAATCTGCTTATGTTCATTCTGTATTAGTACGAGCCTTAACTAAAGAATGGAATTTTATTTTTGCTATAAAAGAATGAAGACATAGTTGTATTTATAATCTTCTTATTGCTTTCAAAGTGTTTTAATTAAATTAATGGGATTTCGGTATTTATATAATTGAGTAATTTAAAGTACTTGCGAGACTTGCCTTGGCTATTCTTGTTATTTTAATTGTTGGTTATTTAGCACCACTGAGTCTAGTACGAGCCTTAACTAAGAATGAAATATTATTTTTGTGCGTTGATTTTTATCACGCACAGGTTAGGAGCAGAGGATGTTTGTCAAGACTAGAAGAGTAGCATCAGAGCAGAAGTGACTATTGTGGTAGTAGTAGATTGAGATTTATGTAATTTTGGCATGTATATAAAATATTGGTGTGATGGAGGTTGTATATTAATAAGCTTTATAATTTTATTAAGAGTTATTATTAGTTAAAGGAAAGAACATCTTATTATATTTTTGGTGTAGTGATTGATTATAAAATTCCTTGAAAAGAATGTGCTTAGAATATTGTGATGGAACCTAAGTAATTGATGGATATTTAGAGTGCTTGTGGCATGTTGTGGGTTGAATTGAAGTTTTTTGGGGTTTGGAGAATTGGAAGTGTGTATATTTCTTTTGGTGTGGCAAGTTAAGTTTTTAGGGGAAACTCTTGCAAAATTTTCGTAGGAATTTCTTAACTATATACTTATTTTTTTTTTTTTTACAAAATGTTAAAAATTGGAAGTGTGTATATTTTCTTTGTGTGGCAAGTTAATTTTTAGGGGAAACTCTTGCAAAATTTTCGTAGGAATTTCCTTACATATTATTTTTTTTTTTTTACAAAATGTTAATTACTTGCCTCCGTATGAAAATCTAACCACTTCTAATTTGTGATCTAGCTTTAATAAGTGACATAAGACGGTGCTCCGGTACAGATTGTGACATCCGCCGTCTGACTCTCCGGGATTGGCAGGTGGGTGTTACACTTTATTTAACATTTTCCTAGCACTCATGGGAGAAATTAAATTATAAGGAGCCATATTTTTGTCTACATTGTAAATGAGCTTCACACCATTAGGTAAATTAAAAGTGACTTCTTTACTCTTATAATGAACTACTACATTATGCCTCGCTAACCAATCCATGCCCAAAGTAACATCAAAGTCTATTACTTCTAAACCAACTAAATTCGTAGGCAAGTCTTTACCCTCAATAACAATGGGGCAATATGAAATAACGGCATTGATATAAACAGGTTCGCTTAGAGGTATGGATATTAACAAAGGAAAATCCAATCGTTCAAGCATTCTTTCTATCTTAGCAGCAAAACTAGGATATATAAATGAATGGGTATCACTAGGATCAAACAAAACTCGTGCTTCAAGTGAATAAATAATAGCAATACCTACTACCACGGCTTTGGATGCCTGAGCATCCCCTTGTGTTATATGAAAAACTCGTGGTTGCCCCACTACAGATTATTGAAGCTTGTCTTGAACTCTAACCTCTGCCTTTGCCAAAAGAACCACGACCTTGCTAGCCTGAATATCTAGAACCCGAATCAAAAGGTGCAATAGTAGGGGGTCTAAACACACTGCCCATAGAAGACTGAGATGGCATCGGTCGTGACAGGAAAATCAGACAATCTCTAGAAAAATGTCCTACTTGGTGACATTTAAAACAATTATTAACATCAAAATCGCAACCCCCTTAATGAAACTTTCCACATCTGTGACAGGATGCTCCACTGGATTTACTGTCACCAAGACCAGATTGATACCCACTACTAGAACTGATGGTAAAAGTGCCCCTTCTCTGCCCGAATTTCTTTTTGTCTCTCTTTTTACTGAAGTTACCTTTACTTCGAAATTGAGAACCTGAAAATTGTGTACCCACAGCAAAAGATCCAGTCACTCATGGTACACTAAAACTCCTATATGGTATTGTAGTACTAGTACCTATTTTACCTAAAATCACTTCGTCAGAAATATATTTAGTCTCCATCTGTCTAGCAGAGTCAATTACATCACTAAAATTTTGATCTCTCTACTGAAACAAAGTAACATAGACATGATTCATTCTATTGATGAAACTATACATCTTAGTACCCTCATCTAGAATGGATCCTGGAGCATATTTGCTGCTCAACTCTACAAATTTAGTGGCATATTCATCACCCAACATATTTCCCTAAACCAAAGATTCGAATTCCCTCATTTTTGCTTTTTAGTCCCCTCAGGTACAAATCGATTCAGAAAAAGTGTAGAAAAATGTTCCCAAGTCATTCCGATAAGAGAAGGCTGAACATAATCCTTAAACCAAATTTCAGCTATACTTCCATTTTACAGCCTGCAAACATGATAGACCTCTCATCACCACAACCCAACTCAACACAAAACTCTCTAATTCTAGCCAAAAATGAGTGAGCATCCTTGACCCCTATAAACTTTAGTGGTTATCTAATGAATCTATCATAAAAAGTATCATCGGCTGCTCTTGGACCAACTGGCAGTTGTGGGGGAGGTGGAGGCGGAGGTGGAGCCAGCTGGTGTAGCGGTGCTATTGGACTAGGCATAGGAGGAGGTATTTATTACTGTTGTTGTGCCTAAGGTGCATGTGCCTAAAAGAATTGCTGCTGTTGTATTAACATGTTATTCATAGCTATTATTGCCTGCTGAAGTCCAGTAACCAGTGTGTTTACTTCTTGAGGGTTTACATTCACATTCTCATCATTCTAGTTTTCTTACACCCTTTCCTCTTGATTAAACACCCTTTCCTCTTGATTAACTGCATTTCTAACAGGTCTACCTCTACGATGTCTAACTAGGGTTGGATACCCGAAGGAAGCCTCTTCTAGAGCATCTTGCTTCGGATTATCAGATGCTCTTCTCCTAGTATTCATCACACTGAAATTCAAGCATAGATAAAAATCAACAAAAACATAACAAATCATATTCTACACAATATAATGTTCTATCTCTCAATTTAATTTCAATAATATTAATCTAAGGGATAATGTTAATTTTAGTGCAAGTACTTGTCATTTTTTTCCATTTTGGTGTCTGAACGGAAAATTGTGACAATTGAGTGTCTGAACTTGCAATTTTTTTTTTATTTTGGTGTCTCATGATGACATGAACCACTAGAAAATCTAATGAGCCTTATTGGGACCCACAAATGCCTATGTGTTTATTGACTTGGACTAACTAATTTGACACGTAGAATGCCAGCGTGGCAAAAAGGATAAAATGTCCCTTTTGCCCCCTCTTTAATATTTCCCCAAACACGATTTTTCCCCAAAATCTAACATAAATCGGGATTGAATGAAAGAAAGAGCAACCCTCCCCCCTTTCATAGACTTCATTCTCTTCTCAAATTCTTTTCAAATCTTTAGCATAATCTGAGAAAAAACTCAATCAAATTGCTGAGAAAGGGAAAACAATATCGCATCGTTGGATTTAACACTGAGATTGCGTGAGATTAGAGTGCTTCTCATCAGGATTCCTGACAATGGGGACAAGGTATTTCCCTAAATCTTTAACTTGCAGCTTCTATGTGTGTTTTAAACTTATAATCGATCACATTCTCTTGCATTGTTTGCGTTATTTGAAAAGGAAAACATCCTTTACATGCTTTTTATGTCATAAGAACAATTGATAAATTTAATTTGAAATTTCTATGAATAAATGATGTATTGTCTTTTCTTTTCTTTTGTTTTCAATATGTGTAGTGAATACAGTTATGAGCTTGAGGTAAATTATGGTGGGATTTTCCTTAATGATGTGGCTAGGAGTGGTAAGGTATATGTGGGTGGTGATGTAATGGACATTGGGGTAGATATAGATAACTTTTCAATGGAAGGCTTTAGAGATTGGTTACAAGAGGATAAAAGAAGAGAAGGGAATGAGCCTGAAACCTCATTCATGACAAAAAAGTGACCAGTTTTTCACAAGATGGGAAATCATTACATTACAAGAGGATATTTACAGGTATATATTTTTATAACCCATACTTAATGTTCATCCTAATAGTTGAAATGTTATGTGAGTTTGAGGATGAGTTGTGCATATTTGACATGTATAGGCTGCATGAAATGAGAAGGAAAAAAATGCAAAGTAGTGCTGCCAAGAGGAATCCAAGGAAGTCAGTGAGAAGTGCAGGCTCATTGAGAGCAGCACTACTAGTAGAGAGGAGCCCAATGATGTAATGCAGACCCAAGAATCAGTAAACAAAAAGAATTAGACTGTAATAGGATGTTTTGTTTCTATTTGTATTGGCTTGAACAATATTACTAGCCACAAGTCTGCATTTTAATAATTTTGTCATTTAATTTTTTAAACCTTACATTTGATGTTAATAGTCATTCAATTTGAGAATGATGTTTGTTCAATTGAAATTCAAATTTTTACTGTTAGTTAGAATGCTTTTAAAGGTTTGGGGGCTCATATTTGACATGTCTAAGTGCTTTTACTGTTAGTTTCAAAATAAGAAATCCTGGAAGAACCTGAGGTGTTGTGTATTTAGTGAATATTTCAGGTCCATTTTTTGTGTACATTATGTATATTTTGCAGAATTTACTATATTTTTTAGGTCCACATTTTCCATGATTTTTTGGAAGGGTTTGCTTCTTTGGTTTATGTCCATTTCATGTCCATTCTCCATGATTTTACCAATATCCAAACTGTATACCGGTAATACTAATTCACAAATTTAAACAATCAAATCAGAGGAAACATTTTATACAATATAAAATTGATTTCATTTAGCAAAAGATTTATCATTACAAACAGGTATAGTTCCATTCAATCTCATACTAGGATATTACATTTTAGCTTCATCCTAACTAAACTAAAATTCATCCTAACACTAACTAGTCTAAGTTTGAAACAAAAATAAACTACACAGCATGTTACTTCAATCACCATTTCAACACAATTATAATGATGGACAAAACAACCCAAACCCATAAAAGTTCTCTCGTTTCTAGCTTCTCTACAACTCAACTTCCATCTCATTTTTGTTCTTCAACAATCCAGGAATAATCCTCTTTGCTGTATTGCACATAACAAGATCAAGCATTTCAAAGAAATCACAACCATTGTTCCGCTCAACCTTCAAATTACAAAAGGTAATTTCAAGAAACAATGAAAGAAGTGAAAACCCTAAAATCAAATTGAAACGACCCGAAAAATCATTTTCAAAAGTTTTACATTTAAAAATCTAAATATTCTAACCAAATATATTATAGGATATTTTTACAATTAAAAATAGTTTTGTGAATTATTTAAATAAATTCTAATAATAAGTACCTTAATTGCTAGATCAAACCCATGAATTAGATTAAAACATTTGAGAAAGAATTGAAAACCACACAAAAATCATGATTTGGACGGAACCCAACCCGAATCAAACCAAACCAAAAATCAAAAACCTAAACAATTCTAGAAACCCTCCCACTATCCCATTTTCAGCGCCGACCTCACTCTCCCCCTCTCCTCCTTTCGTTTTTCCGACCACCAGACCAGCGCCGCGCCTCCTCGCCGTCGCCCTCTCGCCGCAGCAGCTCCGGCCTCTCCTTTCCTTTCGCCCGTTTCCAGCGGCAGTCCCGCTTTCTCTCTCAATTCCAATCGCCGCCCTAGCCGACCAACGCCGACGTCACCTTGTGCCCGCTGCAGCTTCATCGCCGCTTCTCTTCCTCTTCGTCTTCGTTTCTGGTTAGCGCAATGACCACAGGCGAGCTGTGGTTCCTTCTCTTTCGAGCAACGCAGCTGCATCTTCTTCCATCGTCGGCAACCTTGCTCCGGTCCCTCTCTTGTCTTGTCTCGGCCTCGTTAAGCGCAGCAAGAGAAACGTTTGGGCTGTGTTACTCCGGTCGGCACAGCCTTCTCTCTGTTTCTCATTTTTCAGTCAGCGGTAGCCTCTAGTTAGAGGGAGAACTCTTAACTTGTCAAACATTGATTTGAAATTGTCTTTCCGTGGTGGTTTGCAACTGAGTAAGTAATTTCCTGCTCCATTCTTCGTGTTTTATGAATTATTCGACTAAATTGAAGGATTTGAGCCTGTATTATGTTTTCTGTGAAGAGTTTAGATTTTAAAAGTACTGTTTATGTGAATTATTATGGGAGAATTTGATATTATCCAATTTGATATTTATCCTGCTTAATTGAAAACACGAATGAACGTGAAATTACATATAAGCGAATAAAGGGTTTATTAGTATTGCAAATTTTAGTAAGGAGAATTCCAAGGGGGAGGAGGGCGGGCGGGGGGGGGGGCGGGGCGGGGGGGGTGCGGGGGCGGGAGGGCGGGGGGGGGGGGATTCTCGATAGCCAAAGCGGGCAGCACTCTAACCTGGGCGCTATTTGTACGAGTTATATCAAAGTTATATTATAATATGAAGAAAATGGTAATGTACAAAATATCTATAATGAGGAATCAATTGATTAATATGTGGAACGTGAGTTTTTGTGAGGATTTGAGAATTCCTACAAACTGGCAGAAATGTGATTGTGATTGGGAGAGAAGTAATTGAAATTCTCCCATCCATCTTCATTCTTACATGTATCATCTTATATTGATAGTAACTTCTTAGATTTAAAAATATTTAGAATTCTAAAGCTGCACCTTACTAGTTATTGAATGGATTGTTATGCTATTGCAAGGCTTGATGAAGTTTCATGTTTATTTTGTAATGGCGGCAAGCTTATGATAAGTCTAATAGGAATTATGAAAACTTCTTAATCATGCAAAGAGTAGTTGATTTAGTATAAGTTTCAAAGAATTTACTTGGGATTTGATAATTATGCTTTTATATAAAGTAAATATGATGATTGTTGGATATTGATGATGATTGTTGGATATTGATGTTGATGTTGATGTTAACGGAGTTTTATAGTTAAAGCTAACCAATTTAATGATATAACGTTTACTTATATTAGTACATATAAAATGTTTTATTTATTTTGATAATTAGCTAAAGAAGCTAATTATATTGAGAAGAAGCAAGAATGCTTGATAATATGCTTAGAGCAAATTGAGGGTTATTTTAATTTGTAAGTTATGGTTGAATGGTGATATTGCTAATGGAGGATGAGGCGTTTGATTTGATTGATTGCCTGACGGATGAGCTGTGTGAATTGAATAAATATATAGTGAATATTTGACATTAGTTTTAACAGGCAAATAGTCCAATTTTTAGGGGAGATGTTGCCGAAATTTCGGTAGAATCTAGTCTAGTTTTAGCAGTTAGATACGTAGATAGTTTATTACGTTAATTCCCTAATTCTTTATTTAAAATTAGTCATTTGTCTGATGCAATTCTTTCCTTGTATTCTTAAATTCTTTAGATCGTCCGGACCGGTCTCCTGCTTCTCCAAGTCAAAATCCGAGATAGAGCACATTCTTTTCTCTATCACTGTGAGTAATAATAAATAGTGCATACTGCCATTTGTGTGCTTATATATATATATATATATTTACCTTATAAAGATAATTTAGCATTTATTTTTACTATATTACTATGTTATTATTAATATATATGATTATGTTTGTATACATTTCCTTACATCTTATTTATATTCTTGTATGTTGCATAATTATTATTGATTTGGTGCATTATACTGGGTGAATTGTTTGATTACTTGTGCTGTGAAATTGTTGTGGTTTGTTTGTGTGGAATTGGGATGAAGTGGGTCACCAAGGGTTTGTGAGGGCGGTCTTCGATACCGTCGGCCATGTATGGAGAGATCGGCGCCCCCGTGTGCATCTGATGATATATGATATGGAAAATACCGTCGGCCATGTATGGAGAGATCGGCGCCCCCGTGTGCATCTGATGATATATGATATGGAAAACCACAGGGTGGCCGCCTATTGGTATGGAAAAGAAAAGAGAGTATAAAAGAAAGGAGAGGGTTGGTTAAGTGAGGATTAGACTGGTTGGCCATGTATGGAGATCGGCTCCCTAGTGCACACGTTTGAAAGGGCAGGCCATGTGGGAGGATGGCTCGTCGGGGGTTTCAGTGGCGCCACTGACTAATTTCCACTTGTTTGATTATTTGAAGGTGAAAGTACTTGTGAGTGCTGATGTTGTGCCATATACTTGACTGGTTGTGTGTTCACTTTAGTATTTCAGGATGCATTTCGTGTGAATGCTTGTGGTATGTATTATTTATTATTATTCACTGAGTTGCAAAACTCACTCTTCTTTTATTGAACTTGTCAGGAAGTAGAATCCCTATCGATCCGGTTAAAGCTCTGCAGTCTTCTTCGCAGGGCTATAAAAGTAGATTTCTAATTTCTGTAACCGTTTAATTTATGTACTGTTATATTTAAGAACTTCACTACTTCTAGTTATTATTGAACTCCGCAGTTGTAGGATCTATGTATCTCCAATCTTGAATTATTAATAGGTATGCTAATCTATGGATGTTCTTATTATTTATTTAAAATACAAATGAATCAGTAGCCCATACTATGAACGAGGAATATTACTAATAGACCCGAACTATGTTCTATTTGTGATGTTTGAGATTGTGCCAGGATAATGAGATCACTTGATAGTGCCAGGGATAATGAAGATCACTTGATATATATTATATATATATATATATATATATATATATATAATATATTATATATGAATTAATATGGGCTTTGTAATTTAGACTTTTATATATGAATTAATATGGGCTTTGTAATTTAGACTTACTACAGGCCTCGGGGGCCTTAAGCTTACCTAGGCCTTAGTGTCAGTCCGGCTTATGAATTCGGGTCGTGACACAAATAAAATGGAAAAGCAGAAATACACTCACCAATCAAATCTCGCAAGGAACAAATCTCCTAGGATTCAACTCCGTCTATGATGTTAGAACTGGGCATGCGATTTCACATTTACAAAATCGAAAATCCATCTTTGAGAAGGACAGAAGAAGAGCGTGGGAGAAAGGAAGAAAGGGAGGCGCTGAGAGATGGAATCTTAATTAAGGTTAGTCAAAAAGAGGGGTGTTAGATTGTTGTTTGGAGCAATATTAAAGAAGGGCAAAAGGGACATCTTATCCCTTTTTCCACGTTGGCGTCCTACTTATCAAATTAGTCAGTCGGTCCACGGACATGTAGGCATTTGTGGATCCCAATCAGTCCCATTAGATTTTCTAGTAATCCATGTCATCAGGAGACAACAAAATGAAAAAAATTGCAAGTTCGGACACTCAATTTTCACAATTTTCGATTAAGACACCAAAATAGAAAAAATGACAAGTACATGCATTAAAATTAACATTATCCCTTAATCTAAAGATGGCTACGCCAAATATAAGAGATAAGGAAAATTACTTCAAGATGTGACAGGAATAACTCCGCAGTTACATCTAGAATAGTAAACTTATGCTCTGATACCAACTTTGTTACGATCCAAAATCATGGGCCGCATAGGCACTAGGGCACAAGTAAGCTTACGGCCCCAAGACCTGTAGTAAGGCTAATTCATGTGAATTCATTTCTTTAAACCGACTCTAAGAACAATAAGCCCATATTATGACATTATTAAGTTATACCATCAATTTATATCTTTAGCCTAGCTTTAATATTTTAAATAATTCATAGCTCGGGCCCGAATTTTTTGATATGCAATTCATGTCATTCATGATATAGGCAAATTGGTCCGTTCGTACTCTTGGATAGATAATTAGAAAATCCACAGACCTATCGAACAACACACTAATAAATTTTACATAATAAAATGTAACACAAAACAACCTAATTGCGGAGCTCAGTAAATGTATGTGAATACATTTTTATACACAATACTATATATTTGAATATGATCAAAAAGCTAGAAATTACTGTTATAACTCTGCGGAGAAGGATGCAGAGCTTATCTGAATTAACTAAATGTCTACCTCCTGGGAAAAAAAAATTAAAGGAAAGGAGTGAGTTTTACAAATTAGTAAATAATAATAAATAATGTATAGCCCAAACAATCACGCAAAATGTTTTCGAATTTCACATAATGAACACACAATTAGTCAAGTACGTGTCACAACATCAGCATCTACAAACAATATCACCTTCACATAATCATATCAAGTGGAGATTAGTCAGTCACCTCACATAAATCATATCAAGTGGGAGACACATAATGAACACACAATTAGTCAAGTACGTGTCACAACATCAGCATCTACAAACAATATCACCTTCACATAATCATATCAAGTGGAGATTAGTCAGTAGCGTCACCGAAACCCCCAATAAGCCGTCCTCACACATGACCTGTCCTCTCATACGTGTGCACCAAGGAGTCAATCCCCAATACATGGCCAACTGGTCTAATCCTCACTTGAGCAGTCCTCTCATTATTTTTTTCATTCTCTATTTTCTTTCCATTACCAACAGGAGGCCACCCTATGGTTTTTCACATCATCTATACATGGATGCACACGGGGTCACAATCTCCAATACATGGTCGATGGTATCTGAGACTGCCCTCACAATCCCATGGTGACCCACGTCATTTCCATTTCATATGGAAACAAGGCACATTATTATCACATCACAAGTAATCCAAAGAATTCATTCAATATAATAGATCACATCGATAATCAATACATAACATATGAATATCATTATGGAGTATTAATATATACCATTCATGAATAATGATATTACTATAATATATGTAATCATTTAATAGTTGTATAAATATAATATTAAAATTATAAGGTGGATAATAATGCGAGTGGTTATATTTCAATAAGATGATATTAGTACAAAAAATAAAAGCAAAATATTATGGATATATTTATATAGTATAGCATGATTGGTGCATGTATGCAGATGATAGTATGTACTATTTGTTATTACTCACAGTGATAGAAGAAAGAACAAGCTTTAATTTAGATTTTAACTAGTAGGAGTAATAGAGGAACTTGGACGGTCTAGATAAAACACAAATATAAAGGAAAAACTACATTAGACAGATGACTTTCCTTTAATAAGAAATTAAAGAATTAATCTAATATATAATCGCTTCGACATTTAACTGGTATAACTAATTTAAAATATATTGAAATTTCTGGCAACATTTCTCCTAAAATGAGACTTTCCACTAGTTCAAATATTTACAATTTAATATACTTATCTATTATTACTCACACACCCATCCATCGGGCAATCAACAATTTAAATATCCAACCACTATAAATAGCAATTTTATATTCATCTCTTAGCTAATAAATTCAAATAAATCTTCAATTTGATCTCAGTACACCCTCATATATCATTCTAGATTAGCCAATAAGATTAATACTTCTATTAAATGACTAATAAATAAACATATCTTTTATATAACCTAATACACCATCATCTTAGTTCATATTTTATAATTCTAATTCCAAATTAATTAATACCTATCTAGCAACAAGTTTCCTTTTACTTAAATTACTTTCTATCTCCAAAATAAATCGTACAGTACTGAGTATTTAATTTTCTTTCTCTTTTGGTTCATAGTACTTAATAGCCATTAGCTCAAACTAAATTAAGGAACTAATTTCTCCTTAAAGAACGCGCATATATATTTTCTCCTTAAAGAACAGCGCATATATATATATATTATTATATATATATTATTATATATATATTGAGATCCAACTCTAAATATATTGAGATCCAACTTTCTAAAATAATTTAATTATGCTTCTAACTCTTTTTCCTTTCGTTATATATTCCTCAAGATCAAGCATCTATATTACATGTTTTACTTAATTTATCTAAAACTCATACTAAAACTCTATGTTTATCAAAATTCTTAATTAATTTATATGATAGTAACTAAAATTTGCTTTAATTTATTAAAGCCTTCTAATCATAATCAATATTTATGAAATATATTGGAAAATATTCAAAATCAGATTAGCTAGCCACTAAATACCGAAAATTAGCTAATTTTTTGGAAAATTAACCAAAAACAGCCCCAATACCCCAAAATACAGCACTGCTAGTAATAACTTGGCCGAAATCCATGGATATGGTGGTCGACGAAGCTGTCAGCGGCAGGGAAAGGACAAAGTTGACTGGCCTTCGGCTAGTTTCACCGATAAATGGACAAGGACTGATAGGTGTTATTTTTATAGTATTTTTAATATAGTTTTTATTAGGATTTTTAGTATTTTTAATTACTTTAATTAGTTTTTATTTAGTTTTAGTATTTTTAATTACTTTAATTAGTTTTTATTTAGTTTTATTTATGTTTTTGTTTAAAGCTTCCTTGAATCATATTTCACATGATCTTGGAAAATTTTGTTGCATTTTTATAGAAAACCAGCTAAAAATATAGAAAAGAGTGTACCAAAAAGGCTGGCATGCCCTGGGCGTGTTATCTAGCACCCCGTACTATGTTCAAGATAAATTCAATAGAGGTTCAGAGTCTAGCACGCCCAAGCCGTGCAAGAGAGCACACCCATGCTACAAGAGGCTATCGATCTCTGAACGTGCTCATCTAAGCACGACCCATGCTGCAACCACCTTAAGGACTTAGAGCCTAGCACACCCAAGCCGTGCCAGATAGCACGCTTGTTCTGAATGCCTGACTTCATATTGGGCCGAAAACAACAACTCTAGCCCGTGCCGCTTGCATGGATTCGCATGAGATGCTTTTCTGATGTGCCAATCAAGTTTAAATCCTATTTAGATGCTAGGAGAGTCCTAATTGGGAAGAAATATAAAGCCTAAACAGTTTGTTTCCTATCCCCAAACAGCATTTCTTACTATTTCTTACTCAATAGAGATTCACTTTCTTAAATGAACACGAAGATATTCCAGAAAGTTTATATAAAGAGAGAGACTAGCCATGATCGGGGGTCTGATCCATTCATTGTATATTCCATCTCTTGTTTTGTTTTTTTCTACATAATTTTCTCTCTCTTTAAGACTTCAAGTATTCAAGTTGGTGTCAAGATTCAAGGAAGCCGCTCAAGCCAATCGCTGAGTAGTTTTTATTTCTAAACTCTCTTCTTGTTTTATTTATTCATTTTGATATGAGAATATTTTCAAGTTTAATTGAGTTTTATTTAATTACAATATCGAACTAAATTCATATACTAGGGATTTGATGTAGCTTAATTTCAATTCCAATTTATAATCTTAGATTTGTTTTTCCTTGTCAATGATATAATTTATTATTAAACTTAATGCTTCCAGGCAGAGTTTCTCCCCTGGATTGATTTATTTCATTAATCACTATCGGGAGAAGGGTTTTTGATATAATTCTCAATTCCAATTCAAAATCTTAGATTTGTTTTTTCTTGTCAATGATTTAACTTTATTATTAAACTTAATGCTTCCATGGGCAAGAGTTTTTCCCCTCGGATTGATGTTATTTCATTAATCACTATCGGGAGAGGGTTTTTGATAGAAAAGCGTAATACAATGACATGAGAATA